TTATTTATTAATATTCACGATTATCTCATTTTTTATAAAAAGAATGTAAATATTTATACTTTCCCACATCATTTTCGATGTATGCAAAATGTATGCGGGAATGAATTTCAAAATATCTTAATATTTCATTTTCGGTTTCGGCTTCGGTTTCGGCCGAAATTCATTTTTAAGTTTCGGCTTTTCTTCGGTTTCGGCCGAAAGTCATTTTTAAACTTTCGGCATTTTTTCGGTTTCGGCCGAAAGTCATTTTAAACTTTCGGCCTATTTTCGGCTTCGGCCGAAATCAGCAAATCACTTTCGGTCGGTCTCTATCCACAACTTTATGCTTTCTGTCCACACATCTCCACAACTTTTTGCTTTCTGTCCACACATCTCCACAACTTTATGCTTTCTGTCCACACATCTCCACAACTTTTTGCTTTTTGTCCACACATCTCCAAAACTTTTTGCTTTCTGTCCACACATCTCCACAAATTTATGCTTTCTGTCCACACATCTCCAAAACTTTTTGCTTTCTGTCCACACATCTCCAAAACTTTTTGCTTTCTGTCCACACATCTCCCACAGCTTTATGCTTTCTGTCCACACATCTCACACAGCTTTATGCTTTCTGTCCACACATCTCACACAACTTTATGCTTTCTGTCCACACATCTCCAATAGCTTGATATTTTCAACCTTATCATACTATTGTATTTTCAGGATAGTTCTCAGGCATCTGTTGATGAAGGTCTGGATTCTGTATGTTGTAGTTTCTGCTGCTCTGCAGGCTTCTGACTTTCACATTGGAGTTAAAAATTATTATTTCAGTTTTGGTATCCACGTAGGATGATTTCCTGACTGGTTTGAAATGGATAAATGCCTGTCGTGCTAAGTTTATTCAGCGTTTAATATCTTCAACTGTTCCTCCAGATATATTGACCACTCTACCAAGGTATATGAAGCTAGTCTGTTCCCTCGAATATATTGACCACACCACCAAAATATATGAAGATAGTCTGTTCCCTCAGATATATTGACCACACTACCCAGATATATAAAGATAGTCTGTTCCCTCGGATATATTGACAACACTACCAAGGTATATGAAGCTAGTCTGATCCCTCAATATTGACAACACTACCAAGATATATGAAGATAGTCTGTTCCCTCAGATATAGTGACCACACTACCAAGATATATTTATTTATTTATTTAGGCATTTTTATATAGCGCTTACCATAAAGCTCTAAGCGCTTTACAATTATTAAAAACATGTAAACTAAGTAAAATAAAAATGTGACACTAGGATAGTAACTACTATACTATAGAAACAATGAAAATGGCTATAAAACGAGGACACTTTGACACGTTTTGGCCTATACTTCAGGATCAACCTGAAACAAAAAATGAGGCAGGGCAAGGAGGGTGCATCACAGGTCATAGGCGGACCTAAACAGATGAATTTTAAGGGACTTTTTGAAAATGGACGAGGTTTCACAATGGCGTATATGGAAGGGGAGCTGGTTCCAGAACTGGGCCCATGGAAGTAGAAGGAGCGTTCACCAATATATGAAGCTAGTCTTTTCCCTCAGACATATTGACCACATTACCAAGGTACATGACATGAAGCTATTATGTGCCTCCAGACATACTGGCCACCCTACCAAGGTTTTATGTCATCATCTTGTTTGAGATTTATTAGTTAGTATTTTCGCTTTTTTAAATGGATTATTTTAAGCCCCACTCTTCTTTCCAAACTCTTCCAAGGCTGGGATCATCTCTTGCATGTCTTGTACTTGTAGTCTGGGAGATGGTATGGTCATACAGTCTGCACATTGCAAGCCTTCGCATTTTTTGTTATCGAGTCCACTGGATCCATTTCCTTGAATTTGTGTTGGCTTCATTGGTGACCCAGTCTAGCGGCTGGTCAAGAGTTTCGTGCTCAGTACCGCGTCTGCAGATTGTTGTTCAGGTGCCAGGAGGAACACGGATAGCGAAAGAGACAACGTTGCTTCACTTCAGCACTGGGGGGGGGGGGGGGATGGGGGGGGAAA